TGATGTTGATAAACTGATGTCTGTCGGTGAGGTAGGATTTCAGCCAGGAGAGTGCAGTGTCAGTGATGTTGAGTGATGATTCGAGGAGGGACAGCAGGATGGTGTGGTTGATGGTGTCGAATGCTGCGGTGAGGTCGAGGAGGATGAGGATGTTCAGGTTGCTGGAGTCAGAGGAGAGGAGGAGGTCGTTTGTGATTTTCAGAAGAGCTGTTTCTGTGCTGTGTTTTGATCGGAAACCGGATTGAAATGGCTCAAAGAGGTCATTGGAGCTGAGGTGGGATTTAAGTTGTGAGGCAATGACACGTTCAAGTATTTTTGACAGAAAGGGGAGATTTGAGATGGGCCGGAAGTTGGACATGATGTCAGGTGTGAGTCCAGGTCTTTTGAGAATGGGTGTGACAGCAGCCAGTTTGAGAGAGGGGGGAACTGATCCAGATCTGAGGGAGGAGTTAATGATGGTGGTGATGAGTTGGGAGATGGCAGGGAGGCTCTCTTTAACAAATTTGGAGGGCATTGGGTCAAGTGTTCAGGTGGATTTAATTCCAGTCATGAAGTTGGACAGTTGCATGGGGGTCACAGGGGAGAAGTGGGACAGGGGCTATGAGGTGAAGGGGGGGGAGCCAGGAGGAGAGGTGGGGGGTGCTGATGAGGGTGTCAGATTGCTGTAAATGTTGCTGATTTTGGTTTGGAAAAAAGAGAGGAAGGAGTTGCACTGTTCGGTGGTGTGACTAATGCAGTGGAGAGTAATAAACATTCACAGATTGCTGGGAGTCAAAGTGGTGAAAGCATAGTGATAAAGGCAACAGTTATTCCTGCAGAACTCCAGATGTGTGTGGAATGCGTACACGTACACGCAGGATTCCAATTGTCTTTGTTTTCACACACTTGAGCACCCCCAGGAATCATACTCTCCGTCACCGTGAAGCTTTACTTGCCCCTGCCTGGAGTCACGTCATCATAACCTTTCACCCACAGAACTCCTAACATCCTCCACTTTGGTGTGGGCTCTTGTCTTAAATGGGCTGACATCAGTGGCAAGTCGAAATGTCTGAAATATGATCTGTCTGAACATAAATCAGACAAAAATAATAGCCGCTTTCAAACCAAGTACTTTGCCGTACTTAGTTCCCAGCACTTATAGGCCTACCTCATTCACACCAACGGTGTTTCGGGGCCGGTTCGGAGCTGGAGCTTGAAAAGCACCGGGTTTTCCTCTTCACACCGCAGCGGAGCAGCCTCTTAGCTCCGGAATCCGGTTCGTTTCAAGCACCAAAAAATTGTCCGGCCAGAGCAAAAGCACCACATACGTCACGCTTACGTCGAGGCGGGGGCAGGGGCAGAGACAGACCAACTCCTGAACAACAACAAAAAGCCCGCGTTTTATCCAGTTTGTACACAGCGATGGAGAAACTTAACAAGAGTTTCAGTGTTTCTGCCATAGACTGTATAGGTTTCTGCTTATGGTGAAGCAACGTGTCTGCGTGTTAAGGTGGAACCTGAGCATTCACGTTGATCACCTCTCATTATAAATCTATAAAACTATAAATATTAAACTTTACTTCACGTGTTCATTTGAGAACAGCTGTTACATACCTGGGTGAAGGTTACAGTTGATTTAAATGAAAGATACAACATTACTCCACACTCATGGTTCAGTCCACCTTAAGAAATAAGACCGACCTCGGAAGCAGTTGTGTTTTAAAAAAAACCTTTATTGACAGGAGTACACTTTTTTATAAGAATATAACTAAACCACAGAAATGACTCCGGAAAAGCTGCAGATAGAGCCATAAGAAATGAATGCAACTGATTTCATCCTCGCGGTTTGGCTTTATGAAGCAGGCACGCAAACGGTTACGTCATGACGCAAACGATGACGCAACGACGCATTACCAGTCGGACTCTGGGCAGTGTGAAAAGAGGCAGAGCTAAACCGAAGAACTGGTTCTGAACCTGAAAACCTCTAGCACGGAGCTTGAACCGGAGTTGCGTTGGTGTGAATGAGGTATGTGTTCCCCCATGGAACTAAAGAGCAGATCGCGTTCACACCGGAATAAGTCCCTGAGGGAAGATTACGCAAGCCGCTGACGTCACTTCTTCCTCTTCTGCTTTGGGTTTACTGGCAGGCCGCAAACAACTTCACGACGTATACTGCCACCTGAAGTCCCCGGCCGGAAGTCCCCAGAGATGGGGCGTGGTTTGCAATTCGCCCAGCCAATCAGAAATTGGAACTTTGTTCTCCCCAGGAAAGTACTTGGGCTGAAGTCGAATAGTCCATTTAGCTTAGGAACCTTCCTAACAGAGTGAAATGACCTGGAAGTCCCTCAGTGGCAGCCATGATAAGTGCCGTTCGAATTCTCTAGATCTTTATAACCTCCTTTAGCTTAGGAACCACTGGACCTCCCTTGATGAAAGGAGAGGAGAAAGTGCTGCCCCACAATGCCTTGCGGCCGCAGCATTTGCCGTCACACAACAGTCACGGAGTTTCCGTTAACGGAAACAACCGATTATGACCGAGAAATGATATCATGAAAGTTACGGTGCTTATTAAGCATTTTAAAACGTAGGTGGTAAGTTGCCAAAGTGCTTTGTTCTGAACGGTCATCAGTATTATAATCAAAAAGAGAAATATGAACGTTAGTTTTTACTGAAATGATCAAATAAAGTCAACATTTCACAGTCTTTACTGAGCTGTGTGGGGTTTGTTCAACTTTTAAAAGATGTTTGAATGGTGATATACACACTGATAGATGTTAAGGACTTACAATTATAATAAATACATTTGTATTGATTTTAAGATATTTTCATACAATCATACGTATTGGGATCATTTGTATTAATGTGGACCGGAGGGAGAGGGTGACGAGCATAAGTTTCACTTTCCTTTTTTATTTCAATTCCAACTTTGGTCATGAAGAATATGTTTCTCTGTTGTCCACGTTCATAAAGCATAAAGCAACAGCATCAGAGCACGGTGCAGAGTCTCTAGATGAGTTTACAGTAGTCCCTCGTTCTTATTAAACATCCATGTTGTAGTCCGCTGTATAGAAAACTGTAGTTTCAATAGTTTCCCCACAGCAGCAGACGCACATTCATGACGTCCGCTGGCGCATCATAAACACGTCGGATAGTGGAAAGTGCATTCGGATTCTCTAAAGTACCGCAGTCTCTTCTCCTAAGTCCTTTTGAATTCTCCTATCCACTATCCCTTAACCCCGTGACGTTTCACTCAGAGCAGAGGTCAAGTAATAGACGATAGGGTTAGACGTTAGGAGCTGATTTTTGGATTATCCGACCGCAACCCTGCTCTCTAGCAGGGACTGAAAAGGGGGGAAAAGTTATCATGAACTAAGTTGTCTTTTTGGTGTGAACACAAAATCCCAGGAACTAAAAGGGAAAAGTACTCCGGTGTGAAAGCGCCTAATGCCATATCATAGTCAGACCCCCAGGTGCTAAATGTGTCCCGGCTGAAAAGACTCATCCAGCAAATGGAGATGTATTATTGCAGCCTTTCTGAGCTGAGAAAAGTAGCACTCAGCTTCAACAAGTAAAGGCAGCTGGAGGAAAATGTATGGCATCTATAGAATGTCATCCCAAGATCTCCAGGGGTACATGTAAGGCTAAAATATTACCATTAAAACTCTATGTTTACAGGGGAATCTTTGCAATTAAAGGCTGGATCATCTTCTAGTAATCTGCTACACACATACAGTATGAACTTCCCTTTAGGCCTTACAATAAGCAACTTATCATTTGACAGGCTCCCATCACCAGAATGTGTGCTTGCTTGGTCACAGTCAGCGGAACATCTTCTGTTGTGGGTATGAGCAGGTTTAACATTTAAAATGACATGAACGAGATCTTCTGTTGGTGATGAACCTGGCTGCAATTTCAAGCATTTCTTCACATTCTCAGGATTTGATTTACAGACTACAACGTTCAGCTAACCACGCTACCGATGTTTTTCTGACGAGAGCAACTTGTTTGCTTGACTCACATGGAAAACAGACTTGGAACATTAGCATGAAGATACAAAAATCAAACTTTATTTGTAAAGTCAATCCCTCCAAAGAAAAGATACATTGATGCCATGGTTATGTCTCAACTAAAGTCTGTACATGAATCCAGAATCTGTAGAAAAAGGGGAAATGAGTATCGGAAGCATTCTGGTTTGCATTTGTGGTCCAAGTACTATTGGCCAATCAGTCACAGGTAAACAGTCTGCGCAAAATAGGTTGAATGCCTTGGCCGACCTTGCAATGCTATGGTTATCGGATCACAACAATAAAGCTATTTACCAGCTAACAAAATATGTGGTAAAATCTAGTGCTTTTAACTCCATCTTTATTCTTGCATCTCAAGTTGCTAATAAGACTGTAATGACTAGCAAACAGGAACACTGTCCAGAATTACATAACATGGATCACAGCTGGCTACACAACGACCTCCAGAATATCGCTGTTGCCCCAGAGACAACTAGTTGAAGAGTTGTCATGATGACTCTGTTTGGTCTTTCACTAACTGAGGGAAATATCTGTCCCTTTGGCTGCTACATTCTTCAAAATGTGCATTGCTGACTTTGTCTGTCTGCCATTTGGGGCTGAACAGGTGGGTTTTTTGTGTGGTTTCAAACCCACATTTTCCTTGACTCCACCATTCTGTGACCTACCCATAGATTCTGCCATCACTAATTGTGATTAAACTACAGGAATTTGTCATTGATATTCATAAAGGTTCCTTAAATGTTAGAAGGAAAAAGCCCACCTTATGTATCTGTAAGAGTAATGCATTATATCTAGAAGGTGCAACTGCAAGAAGTAAATGTAGATCTGTAGCACATAATCACTTAATGATAAAGATGGACCAGAGCGCAGTAGTCCTATTGAATAAACCAAGAGGAATCAGTCTTTAAATATTACTATCTGACACACTTAAGGCATTCAGTAGTGTTTTTTTTTACTTGATCCCATGACTATATTGTATTAAACCAGGGCAACAAATCAAAACCAAGAGCATTTTATCAGACATATATTAAGAATTGTAATCTATTATAGTGACATTTTAAGGCATACAGACAAATGTTTCCTTTACAAAAGTTCACAGCAACATCAAAATGGGTCAACCAGCTGAAGCAAGGAACCTAAACAGGACCTTTTGTGTTTGTCATGATGATAACTTAAAGGTAGAGTACATCTTTGGCACCAAAAACACACACAAAAAAACAGTATACAAATGACAAAAAGCTACAAAATATATTAAGTTCTCTCACTTCACAATCATGTAAACACATTCCAAAAAGAGTGAAAGGCATGAACTGACACGCTGCAATGACCAGCAAATGCATTGTGCCGGGAAGTATGGTGAACAGGATGAAGGGGAATAACAGTCAACATGTGAGATTTCTCATGCAATTTGCGGCACAATATTTATAATAAATAAACCTAGAAATTCTGCAATTGATAAATGTGGGGTAATATATTAACTTAGCAGTATTCTCCTCTAAAGAGTAGATCAATCAGAGTTGTGGCACAATCCAATTGAATTGAAGGAACACAGTGCTGGAAACAGGAGTCTACATTCAGCAGTGTTCAGTGATCTTACACCACGCAGGGAGAAATAAATAGAAGATTCCATGTTAGGGATATAGTCCTGTACACTCAGAAATGTGAGATACTTGCGCTGGAGACAACACGGCTGAATATAACACAGGGATGGAGACAACAAATAGAGTATCAGATACAGGCCAATTATAGTTGAACATTTCTATGCTCATGGTAGATCCAGCTACCAGCACTCAGAATAAATAACCAGCCCCAGAAAGAGAATCATGTGGAGAATGTGTGCCATTTTAACAAGGGTGAGGGGTCAGACTTTAGATAGCCTTTTTCTTTAAAGGGAGCATTCCGTCAGCCAGGGAATGTGAGTAGATTAGCTCCAACATATCAGCGGAGGGAAGCAAAATGGTGGGCAGTCGCCATCTGAGGCCCCTGAACATTAACCCAGGATCTGGAAAATTAGACCCCCACTGTCAATCCTCACAGGCTTTTTTAAGAGAGTAGTGAGCAGACGTCCTGCAGGCTTCGCATTCAAAGTTTCTAAATCTTCTTCTGAGGTGTGAGCAGGCCACAAATGTATTTTTAACTGTTAATTTAGGTTATGTTAAACAGAATAATCCCCAAACATGGCATGAAGAAATAGAGGATGCTTGTAATATTAACATATCCATTACTTTAAGAGGGCAGGCTCGCTACTGGACATTCAAAAATAAACTAAATAAATTATCCAGAGAAATGTATATAACTTAAGGGGAGCAGGGCAAGAAACGTCACATCACAATATGAGCAGCATTAACAAACATAAATACAATACATTACTTCAAAAATGAAAATGCACAACAACTGAATATTCGCACCAGCAGCCAGGTTCCTATCACAGTGCACAATACTGTCCAGGTAGCTTGGAGAATTATTTCTCTTCAGGCAAATGTCAGTTTGTGAACTGTGCAGCTGGAGGAAAGCTCTCCTCTCCAAACTGCAGCACATGCTGCTGGTGAACTTTTCAGATCATTATCAGACCATCAGCCTTCCTTTATGTGTGTTCAGATGTAAAGGAAGGTCTTTAAAACCTCAGGCTTGAGGTCTCTGTCATCACTGGCTGGCACTGTTCATATCATTTGTAGTGGTCCTCAAATGAGGATTTCAACCACCTCTGCATCGGAGCTGCTGATCCTCTCACATGTCTTGAGTAGCTTCTCTGTAGTCTCTACTGAAGATAAAATAAGCAGGTTAGAAAAGCTGTTTGGTATGCTCAGGCAACTGCAATGCTGGTTATTTGCATCACACAACATGTTTAATTCTGAAGTTATTAGTCTGTAAACTGCATATAATGGCCATTCTAGGTTAAAAAAATGTAATAACCCAGCCGGGGGAGGAGGGTAATATTGTTCTAAACAATCTGAATTTACGAGATTCAATTATTTAGAAGGCTTCATTAATATAGAATAGTACCCCCTACCTAGGCACTGTTTTTTTAACCCATAATTGTCCTAATACATATTACTGACCCAGGGTCTGGTTACACTTTATATAGTGGTCAAAAAGATCAAGGGCAGCCTGTTCAGCTGCACAGAGCAGGAGTGAACAAAGCAGTAAACCCACCAGATGAAGCTGCTGAGATCACTTCAGTGGGCTCCGGCTCCAGAGAGGCCTCTTCACTCTGGGTGCTGCAGTCCCTGCTGGGGGCCCTGACTGGCCCCCCCATGCAGGGCTGGAGTCTCAGCGCAGCAGCACCTGTCTGGTCATCTGAGAGGCTCTTTCCTACAAATGCAGACAAAGGAAGGAGGCTGCTTAATTACATGCATCAACATTTACACACTCCTGAACATCTGCCCTCTGAGCTCTTCCCATGACTATTCTGGATCGGGCTAATCTGGAGTGAGAGATGATATGCATTCCAGTTTAAAAACAAGCTGTACATTGAGGGGCATGAAAGGCTTGTCTCCTACTCAATACTTGTTTTTATGAAGTGCACATTCTGTCTGGCGTCAGCCAGTTGTCGCTTGATATAGCATGTGTCATTAAAGATTCTAAATTCCTTGGTGTTGTATGAAGCGTGGCGGGAAACATCTTGTAATCACCTTTACTCTCCGTGCTGCTGGTCAAATTGTTGATGGAGGGGACAGACCTGGTGAGACGTAGCCCCTGTCTCTCCAGCTGGCCCTGCTCCCACCTGGAGCGCTGCTGAATGACTTTGATCACGGCGTCCTTCTCCAGGAGCTGAGCATGAAGTGCACGGATCCTAAACACATGCAAGACACCATTAGACCACAAACCAAGAGGCAGGCTACTATCTAGCAAATAAGGGGAATGATGCTTACCTGTTCTCCATCTCCTGATGTCTGTGACTAGATGAAGGCAGGTCTTCATTAAAACTGCTGTTTGGTGACTGTCGAGGAGAATGTTTGATGATGGTTGTATCTCTGCATTTAAAATAGGAGACAGTTAAAAAACATCCCTAAACTTCAATACAATTTGAATAATCCAAAAGTGTTCGCGTTGCTACATTTCTCTATGTTTTATCGTACCTTTGTGCAGCAGCAGTGGCAGCTGCATCCATGGCAAACTGCCTCATGGTGCTCTCCTCCAGGTACTTCTGCTCCCACCTGGTGAGGTCTGCCTCCAGGGCCAGGACCCGCTCCTCCCGCTCCCTCAGCTGCTGCTGCAGCATGGAGGAGCTGGGCTCTGAAGACATGGGGTCAGCGGCCTGCCTATGAGACTGACATGATAGGCAACCGCTCACATTAGGAAACATATATTTTTTATTTAAATGAAAATTTGACCTTTTGGAAATTAGACTTTTAGGTAGCTCTTCAATCTGTAGGCTTAATATGAGGGCAAGAGCCGGTTAGCTTAGCTTAAAAATAAATAAGTATCAGGAAACTGCAAGCCTAAAAACAATTAAATTACCATTGGAGTCACTGGTAGGTTTTTCAATTGTGTTACTTTTGAACAAACCCAGGCTAGCTGTTTCCCAAGCTTTAGGGAATGTATGTTAAGCTAAGCCAATCAACACCCAGCTCCATCTTCACATTTATTATAAAGACATATGAGAGGGTATAGATTTTCTCATCTAATTTTAGAGAAAAAGTATTTCTTCCTAAGTTTTGAACCGGCCCCTCACCTGGTGGGCCCTCAGGCTCTTCAGCTCCTGCTCCAGCCGCGTGCGCAGCCGCAGCTCCAGCGCCTCTCTCTTCTCGCAGGCGGCCTGCAGCTGGGACAGCGCCCCCTGCAGCCGCTCCACCTTCTCCACATATGCTCTCTTCCTCTGCAGCTCCTCCACCAGCTGCCGGTTGCGGGCCTGTGTGGAGAGCAGAGCCTGCTCCAGCAGCTCCCCCCTCTGCTGGCACTCCTCCCCGGAGACACGCAGGTGCTGTACCTGCCTTTCCAGCTGCTCCCGCTCCCGCTGCTGCTCTTCATCTGAGGTACAGGAAGAAAGGAAGAAGAGGTGAATGGTGGTAGTAGTAACTACGACATGACTGGAAGATACTGTGTTGGGAGGTTATCATCTGATAATGTCTTGGGACAAAGTGTGCAGTGGGAATGAGTCCGGAAACCTGGGAGTGAGTAAGCCCTTTTGGACTTTTGTGTTCCTTGGTCACAAAGTCAAGGTTTTTTTTTGTTATTTTTAAAAAAAAATAGGACTTTGGGAAGATGACTGTAAACACAAACTTAAAAGATTCTCATTAGATGTTCACAACATTAATGTCAGTACCCCTGCTTTCACATGCAATGGTTGCTAACAAGTGGCTAAATGAGACCACAAAGGCTGCAGCTCTCTATAGCAGCCACAAAGAAGAGGTCAAATTAATGCTAATGATTTCACTATACAAAACTATTCAGTGGCTATTGATGGGTCAGTCAATGCACTACATAAGCTCAGGGAGTTACATTTTGAATGGAATGCGACCCAACAAAATACATTCACCATTGGGGCATGTGGTTCAACAACAGAGCATTTGTCACTTAGTCTTCTAAAATGGAAATAACTCACAACTACTTTACTGTACTGTAAACTTACACTCAAACATTTAAATGATCTAATATACTTATCAAAAGCTAGTCCATGTTTTAATGAAATCCTTCAGAAGGGAAAGCCGGTGTATCTGTTGTGTCACTTTAAAAAGGGAGTTTGATTACACAACATGAGTGCATGCCTGTGGAGGGAATGCAGACTTCCTTTTATCCACTTACGCACACAGGCATAGCCTTGTACTGGGAACAGCTCTGGAATGCTTCTAGGGACGTGAAGTAAACAAGAAGCGGTCCATTTTGCAAAAAATATATACACAACACATCCCACTATTGTAATTTTAATGCAAGTATGCTCCTGTTGTTCCAAGATAAATGTTTCCAGGAAAGGTAGATCATTAGATCTCTATCTTATGACTCAGGGAAATCATGTGGCTGTTTAAATATACAGAGAAGGGCAATGTTAATCCTAGTAGGTTAAAAAAGATGAGTAAACTGAGATCAGTTAGCTGTACTCGCCAGCACATCCCTGCACAGAGCAGAACATATTCAATAATGAGGTAAAGAAATGACCAAACAAGGAGAGCGGGATGGCCAGAGGTCATCTTGAGTTGGGCCTGGGCGACCCTAGAGTCCCGGACTCATTAGTTCCCCTTGAGGAGGGGAGTCAGCAGTGATGCAATACTGAGCATCGGGGGAGGGGAGGCATTCTGTCGAGACGGACTGAATATCTCAAAACATCTCTGGAATTCAGGCCACATTTATTATGGCTGTAAAAAATAGCTGCCGTCTAAGTGTCAAGAGTTTCTCTTAACATTAGAAATAGAACCATTAGTGTCCCGACACAAGCCTTCATAACACCGCCTCTTCTATGTAGCTGCCATCGTCAGTTCACAGGGCACTGGGAAATGTCCAATCTCCATTTTAAAAAACATCCTCATGTCTTCTTACTATTTCCTCTCATGAGCCATGCAGTGATAAGACTGATTCTGAATAACACATGAAGAACTCACTTTGCTCAAGCAGTTTAACAAAGACATGATGCCTCTGGTCTGAACACTCGGCCTCCTTAGCTGACCGCTGTTTGATAGCTGAATCAAGCTGGTCTGTACAGAAAAACAAAAAAACATGATGGTTATACACAAATATTGATAGACTTTTTTCATCCAGTCTCTGTGTATCTATCTATTTTTCCCTCTTAAAATCATTGCACTGGCACTTACGCATACGCAATCACAACAACCCCACACAATAAAATGAACTGCAACTTCACTAAAACATCCCACAACATAAGATCAAAAATATTTTCTGTATTTTTTGTAGTTTATGCTGTAATACGCCATGTTTTAAATTCACAATATTATGTTTTGGGATACTGTATAAATTCTCAAAAACACCATCAATCTGACTGTCTGTTTCTACATATACATATGTCTTTGGTTGTTATCTTATCAGCAGATTATTGCCCATACACAGCCCTCTATTTAAAGCTGAGCATTTCCAACGATGGACAACACGTACCTCTCAGGTCTCTGTTAAAGTCGTGCATCCTCTTAATCTCAGCCTCCAGTTTATTCCTCAATGTTTTCTCCAGAGCCTCCCGCTTGGCAGAGCCTTTCATTAGGGTCTCGTATGCTTCTGATATCCTTTGAATCTCCAACTCCAACTGGGAAGAACATGGGAAAAGATGATCAGTCTCTGGGAGACATTCGTGGTCTGGATTGTGGTTCATATTTTAGTTGCTCATATCAATAATAACAATTAGTCATCACCAGTATAAATGCTACCTGTTCTTTTTTTTTTACTGCTTTCAGGCAAATGGTTTTCTAACTATATGCACAACTGTAAAGTGTCAATCAACATTCCTGAGTGAACACTTGTGAGTCCGAGGTGTCGAGGTTTTTTATCTCCTTTCAGGGCAAATTGCCAACAAGTTTGAAAGGCAAAGTGTTTTAGGCAATCCTGAGGAGAAAACTCTCAACAACTTACTTTAGTAACTCACTAAACCTTACATTAATATGATGACCCCCCTAACTGCGGGATAGCTCATCACCCTGATACGTCAGTACATGTGCTTTCCTTGTTTTTACTATTTCAGCAGCTTGGTGTGAGCTCCATTCATTCACCGCTTCTCCCCCTCACCTTCTGCAGCCGGGAGGCCTTCTCACTGTAGACCTCCAGCTCCTTCCTGAGCCGCTCGTTCTCTCGCATCAACATCTGGGTCTGAGACAAGTTCTGGCCGGGGGCTGCGGGGGGGCTGTGAGCCACCTGTGACTGAGCGGACACAAAGCTGCCAGGAGAGAGAGATTTATTACCACGATGCTGAATACCACAAGGCACAGGAAATACATAGAGAAAGCATTACTATCTGCAAGGATTGTTTTCCTTATCTATTGATTAAATGTGTGGTCTATATAATGACAGAATATGGAGTTTCTAGACGTGTAAGATTATATTTTTAAACGTCTTGTTTTGTCAACTGAAAGAAAACTGAATGATAGATTTGAGAAAAGACCGTTTTTGAAATGTCTTTTTTTCAAATGTGCCTAAACGCAGTTGGGGATAATACATGATTTAATTATTTATGCAGCCAAACTTTTTTGTTGTTGTATTTCTTAACATTTGTTAGTATTTTTTCAGTAATATCATTTGATTCAGTAACAGTAGTTTTAGTAAAAAAACAACAACATTCCTGATAACTAGGGGGGCCATAGGGGGGTCCAAGCTCAGTGCTAAAGGGGCACTGGCCCCTGTTGGCCCCCCTCAGAACCGGCCCATGATGGTTGTCCATCTTGTGTAATTACCTGTGATGCTGAGAGTAGAAGGGTGGAGGCGGCTCTCTGTAGAACTGTCCGTGCTCCTGTGAGTGGCTGAGCATGTATCCAGGAATCCTAGCAAACAGAGGGTAGTCCGGGGGGGGCCCACGCTGATCTGCATACTGTTGGGCCCCTGGCCTGTCAGCTGCCACAGTGTTTGTAATATTATCATTATACAGCTGTGGATAGCTGTGGGCAGACCCCAGGCTGTGCTGAGGAGCGCTCCTCTCCAGAGAGAGCTGCATGAGCCTCTCACTGAGGGAGCGAGCGTGCTCCCTCTTCAGGTCCCACTGAGCCTCACTGTGACCCCCCATTATGTTCAAGTCCTGCTCGGCGTGCCCCTTCTGGGAGGTCAGGTACTGGGAGTGTGCCTTGGCCTCCTCATATGTGGGCAGCTCCTCTCCGTGCAGCTGGTACAGATGGCACCCCTGGCTCTCAGAATGCAGGAGGTCCCCCTGGTGCTCCTGGCCCTGAGGATCCTGTCGCTTGGACATCTGGATGTACTGGGTCTCCTCCTGTGTCAGGCTTTCCAGAGAGGAGCGGGGACTGCCGTGGCCCCCTCCGCCGCTGCTGCTGCCCCCCCGCAGGGCCTGCTGCTGGATGGCCAGGAGCGTGCGCGTGTCCGTCAGATTCCCGTAGCGCAGCTGCTCCTGGATCAGTCGGTGCAGGACCGTTCCACAGGAGCCTTCAGCAGTTCTCATCTCAGTCCGTGGGAAATTAGCAGAAAACTGTCTGGAGTTGGAGGTGATGGTCTCAAATCATAAATCTGAAGGGGAAATTATAATATTGATCACATTAAACACGTCACAAAATTAATGGTACAATTGTAAATCATCAGATCATTTATTCATGGTTCGGAAAACTCCTTGTCATAAAAAATGTATAGTTTTGCTGCCACTTGCAGTTATTTTCTAAATAATCAATTAATCGTGATTGGTTGGCACTTCAAACTGCTAGAAAATAGTGAAACATGTTCATCCCAGCATGTTACAGTCCGAGCTGATGTCAGTCTAAACTGACAAGCAGGACATCTGCATATTTGAAAGGCATGAAAAAGCCTTTTCTGCCATTTTTTCATGAACGACGTAATTAACCGATGATCAAAATAGTTGCCGTTTATCGGTCATCGACTAATTTAAGTATTCCACTCGTAGAAGCCTACATGTTTTCCCAAATTACTGCCAACTCTTTTATTGCTCAATGACTTGCTGTTAGCAGTGAGAGCAGGGTCTGCTGCTGGAGATACCCCTGTCACTGATCTCAGTGCAGATCCACTTTTATTGCCCACACACTTAAAAGCATAACTTTGTTCAGCAGCCAGACAGAAAGGAGTGTGACACTACACTTTACTGACATAACCTCGGAATCAACCGGAAACTCAAACTCTTTGAAACCAACTTAAAATGTGTTTTTGTTTTAGTAACTGGGCCCATTCCGGAAAAGGTTCTGCTTCTTAAGGGTAAAATAAATAAACAAGATGTTCACCGGAACTGAAAAGCATTTCAACAGTCAAAAATGCGCCATGCACACAATCCGTGCTAAAGGGACTTCTGTTGTGAACTCCAAACACAAAGCAAGCGTTGGAAAAAAGTCGAGTAAACCATGTCAAACTTACCGAGCGATAGTCTCATCCAGCAGGAATCAGTTTAGGGTGCTGTAGTCTTTCAGTTTTCTGCTCATAAATTCAACAAAGTCCACAGTTCCTCTCCTCCATGCGCGGTGTGTGCGCGCCGGGGCCAGACTGCGCTCCGAGCTGCGCGGCACGGTGAATAACTGAGGCCGATTGTTCCGGGCCGGAATGAGAGGAATGCAAAGGCTCCGAGGCCCTGTGGGATCAAAAGCAAAGCACAGGGGAGGAGAGCGGGAGGAGGAGCAGAGGGGAGAGAGCAGGGGGAGGAGAGCAGAGGGGGAGGGGGGGGGGGGGATTCAGAGAAGCAGAACACTACCGCAGCCGGCTGTCTGTATAATGGAAAATAGCCTGTTATTGTTTTTGTTGTGAGGTAGTTTGAGGAATGCAAGTCCCCGCTGCTCCTACAGCAGTCCTTACAGTAAGGAATGTTACTGAGGGTCTGCAGAATCATAAAATGCACCTTCAGTCATGAAGGTCTTATTGAAATGCTCAAGGAAATACGAGGGAGGATGTTAATAATTTAGGTTTTTAAAAAAAAGATTTAAGCCAGAATTGTTGTTAATGTTATATCAAATGATTGGCCTATCTATATAGGAACAAAGTCGGAATTATCCATGCTCTCTTAATAGCCTACATATTTTATGGGCTATCTGTTTTCGCTGTTTTGTCTTGTCTTATTGTTTCTTTTTATTTTATTTAATGTTATTGTATGTTTCTCTTTTTTCTAAAAGCAGTTACCATTATCTATTTATACATGTATACATACTTCAGTCTATAATATGTCAGGAAATCCTCAGGTTAAATTCCCAGAAGCCTCAGAGGATGTATTCAAACTCCTTGTCTTGTGAAACGTGGCAAAGCTCGATGTCTTTTGGCTTAAACAGCAAATGCTCACGTTGCAGGATCCGAACACAAAGAAACCCTGACCTTTTTGCTTGGGAAATGCTCAAAAAGATGACTTTCAAAAATTTGATTAGTATTCTCTAGATTGGCTCATGGAACAATCAACTGATATTTGGCCCTAAACGTATTTTAAAATATGGTATTGAACTAAGAACTCATTTGTATTGTGTTGGTTAAAGCTGAACTGGTGGATGTGACCTTGTTTACATGATAGAAACACAGTCAAAGATATTCTAACAACTAAACTGAGGCATGGGTTTATCATTATTTTTGAACATCTATTTGTTTGCATGTGCCTGGTAAATATTTAAGCCATGGCCCGTGCCAGTTAATTGCAGAGTGTGTGTCTGTGTGTGGACACGGAGGGAGGGGGTGGGATGCGAGGCACGCTGCCTGCCAGCTGTCCGTGGACTGAAATCCCCTTCCCCTCCTTTGATAAGAGCTGAGAGAGATGCATTGTTCTCCCCCAAAAAGCAGACATGACGGGGGCAGCCCTGCCATCTGCTGTTCACCCCTCCACCACTAGCACAGCTACACACTCACACACGTATGTAGATGATCAGCTGGCAGTGGGGGTTGTAGTGTTGGATAGTAATGTCATTGATTGCACCCGTGAAAAGGATCATCCAATGGTGGCGGAGGTTGTTGGGTGTTAACAAGTCTGGTCTTGTTAAGGAGGTGCAGTCAGCAGAAAAAAAAGTGCAGGTGTCTTTTTCAAACAATCAAACGCCCACCTGCTCATTTGCATGGCAGTTAAAGTCCAACTGTTTCTGAAAAATGCTGATTACCTTTACAACTGATGAGATTCTACAGGGTTCCGCCATTTCAGGATTCATCTGGATTCATTCATCAATTGTCTATTGTTTTTACTTGTTTTATGGTGTGTGAGCTGAGCTGTGTGTGTTTTGTTTTGTTTATTTGCCCGTACAGCACTTTGGTCTGGAGGTTTAAAGTGCTATATAAATAAAGCTGTGTTGTATTGTATCCACAACATAAGCAAGAGGTTTGGATCACATTGCGTTCTTGCATTATGAACCATGTATTCAAGATGTTATGATGTACTGTGCAGCAGCTTGCTTTGACATGTTCAGAAGAATTGCTCATTCAGTTTGTTCCCCAAAGTTGAATAAAGAGCGCAATACCTTCCAATAGCTGTCAAACAACATATATATATATATATATATATATATATATATTATACACATATATAAGGATCCAGCTTTCGAATTTAACAATAAGGGTGGAAACAAACATTTGTATCAGCACGTGTTGACAATGGGACGCATTGATAACGATGCTGCCCTGCTTTATGTCATCGAGCTCAGTTTGATGAACCTCGTGGAGGTGAAGTGTGTCATGTCAGCTTAACTGTGAGTCACTGATGAAAGTATGAAATCTATCAGCTCCTGCTAACCATCACTGCATTACTTTGAAACTAAGTCATTACTTATCTCAAGTTTTGGAGTTAAGGAGAGTAATATCTTTTATTTCTGAACAGTTTTGTAGATGTGTACAAACATTAGGAATTGTTAGATGGTAACATCCAATTTAATCTTAAAAACCTCAAATTGGGTCTCCTGGTTTAGATTTGTTTGTGTTATGGCAAGGAGAAAGATGAGTACGATGTTTGGCTTTAGAGTCCCTCACTTGAAAATATCTAACTGGCGACACAACAAGGTTTGAAGATTTCTGTGAGATACATTCAAGGAACGGAGAGAGACTGTTGTTATGACAACAAGACGAGCTGGCCACAGGACAACGGTGTTTTTATCTTTTGGTGCTTTCTGCAGGCTCTACCCATGGCTAAACCCATAGACTGTAGCCTATAAGACTGTACCTGAGCACCTGCCTTCACCTAATCCAAGTGTACAAGGGTCAAAGGTAAACTCAAAGTCAAGACTGGATTCTGATATAATGAACACATTATATATTTGTTGTTTGTTACCTACAAAAACTAAGTATAACACTTTGAATATAAGCTATATTAAATTCTGAACATTGTTTGTATTTAAGCTAAGCTAGCTATACAGCTGCATCCCTATATTGGGTAAACAGGCATCTCTCATTTAACGCTAAGCAAGATAGCATATAAGCATATTTCCAAAACTCTATATTCTTGTAATATATATCCTTTTAACCACAGCTCTTGATTAAGGAAGTGAGTCTGCTTTCATTGGATATTTCATTATTTATCTACACAGGCTAAATTATTAGCATTAGCGTTACCTTGTCTTTTGTTGTTAGAGTGGCAAATGTTCTAGATATGGTTATGTTTTATCTTGTGCTTTCTCTCTGCTGAGAATTGTTTGTTATGGTGACAGATTGTCATGGGAATCAGGTATGATCCCTGGTGGTTTTTCTTAACAGTTGGTTGATACAAGAAAGTCAAAGATTTAACTGAAAACTGAAGTTGCCCCAAATTGGTCAGACTTTTCTCCTTAGACTTTGAAAACACATTTGGCCACATAAGTGACATTTAAGATCAGCCATTTGGACCTGTTAATGGTGAGTCCTGGGCTGAGTGAGTGGACACAAAGCAGGCTGTGATCTGGGAGCGGCAGCCTTGTTATGTGAGGTGGGACAAGCTAGGCGCTTCAGCAGCTCCTTTTGTTTTCCTGCAAAGGAGGAAATGGCCGCATTCCTCACATTACCATGTCCATGGGGTCTGGCCGAGCCTCCAGTCTGCTGCTTCATGGGACGCCAGGAGGGCAACCGGCAGCCTGACGTTTTCTTTTTAATAGGGTTGGGGGAGTGTATTCTATTGAATAACACTGCTGTCCTAAATCATAAGCACAACTTTTCTTTGTAGACAATAGACATGAATAACTTATGGGAAAAAGGAAATTCAACATTCAGCCTAATGTGTGTTGGTGATTTGTGAATTTCTTTCTCTGTTTTTAAACTGTGAGCAGTAAACACATTTCTGTAGGTTATCAAACCTCAAACGGAACAAAAGGAGACTCGGAAGCAATACATATTCAATAGACCTGCTGTGGAACAACTGGATGTGAACACCATTCACACAAGTCGCCCAAGAAACGATCCCTCGCACCTGGTGGCACAAGACATTCCTCTCAGAAAACAAGTAAACAAGTCCCGGTGAAGCAGTGGAACTCTGAAGAGGACTGCGCCTGCAGGCCATGCTGTTTGCAGATAAGAGAAGAACACATCTTTTTGTGATCGCCTGTTGGCTCAACGCTTCAGCGGTTCAACTCTGTTCCCATTCGAGCTGAATTGATATAGTTTTGATTCACTGAAAGTTAATTTTGGTGTATATTATTTGGTTGATGGTTATGTACAACAATGTGGTAACAGTTTGGGATTCATGTCTTGCTGTGTTTTTAACTGTTTGGTTCAACACAACCTACAAAATCATTAAATCTAGGAAGAGACTCGAAAGTGCAGCCCTTCACAGATTATGCTCCTCAGATGTTCTCATATCCCACATTGGAAAATTCCCCTTCCAACTTCATCAGGAGGACGGTGTGGATAAATGTGTTAAACAAAAACAAAGTTGACTCATTTGAACCTGCGGACACAAGTTAACTTGACATAACACACTTACAAACACAACTGTGATCTTTTACTAAACCTAAGTAAATACTCGTTTCCAAAACCTACTACCAAAAGCTTTTCTTTCTGAATTCTTCAGTTCACAACATTAACCATATGTATAGAACTGTGACTGTAACAATAGCGTATACTTTTTTGTAGTTTTATTGAATAGAAACATTACTTTCGACATACAGAACAGAAGTTATTTTGTCTTCATCTTTGGTAACAGTAAAACGTAACTTCCCCCGTTTGGTATGTACGAGCAGTGTCAAATCATTTAAGGAATAGTTTATATTACAACAATATAAAGCCGTAAGCAGATATATGGATGTTCGAAATGTATTTCTATAACTCAACCTTTAATTGGTATCCATAACTGGTAGATAACAGTTAAGAAAAAAAGAGTATTGTTCAATCTTTAGGCGCATTCACACCGCAGTACTTTTCCTGCAAAGGTTCATCAGAACTTAGTTCATAAGAACTCTTTAGTTCTCATAAACTAAGTACAGATCGCGTTCACACCGGAATCAATTCCTGGGGAAGGATTAGGCAAATGAAGCCGCTGACGTCACTTCTTCTTCTGCTCTGGGTTTACTGGCAGGCTGCAAACAACTTCATGACGTATACTGCCACCCGAAGTCCCCGGCCGGAAGTCCCCGGAGTTGGGGACTGGCTTCAGTAGAAGCTGCTGGGAGTCCCAGCAGCTTCTACTGAAGCCTTCCGAGTAAATCGCCAGAACGC